GGCCTCTGGATTCAGTTATGCAGGTTGGCATTGCCTTATGTATGCGTATGTGTGTGTGTATACAGTTATGTAAAAAAATGAAAATCTGCTAACTGCTTGTTTCACAAAATGTTCAATGTACCAGATGACCCGTTTGCAGGATTTGATATTGTTAAAGTGGTTAGTGCAAACATTTATTTTACGTTTTTTGAGTGCAGTAGCAAAGAATTGGTTTTGATTGCTTTATGCGATTCTACAATCAATTATTTTCCTGGTTTTCACTATCTCTTGATATGTGAGTCTTCCTTTTAAGAGAAAACAACATAGATGTAAATCAATCTACTTTTTTATCAATAAGATGCATAGCTGTAAGATTTAAAAAATTTGGTTCTGCTTAACTCAATTTGATTTTGGAGAGAAAAATGAACATGAAGACTGCCAAGAAGAATGTTGTTTCAATGCAGTATGGTTTCAGTGCTTCAACAGACACATACAAAGCAATTGGTTTGCTGGTGGTGGAAAAGACCTTTAACTGACCAGTTTCAGTAACTTGGGTACCCCAAAAGCCGTACCTGTGTTAGGGGTATGTAATTACTGGGTCAGACTTTAGCTTTATACAGCACAGGTGTTTAACAAGTGATCTAGTTTATCTTGTTCTATTTCCACTGTTAGATTTTTGTTTGTTGCAACAATGAGAACGATCTGGCAAATCATGCAGACAAATCTTGACCAATATTTTAAATATAATACTGTTAAAAATGCATAGCTCTGTTTTAGCTCATGCTGTATAAACAGAAGTCAATGCTAAGATTTTCTGCCTATATAAAGGTGAACTGAATTCACAGAAGTTGCTTGGGATTTATATGTGTAGGAATTTAGTCCTAAATGCTATTGGAATATGCTGCTTCTCCCCTTCTTCCAGCTTCTGTGTGCCTATACAAATAATTTTGAAAAAAATTCTCTGCCATTTAAGACATGAGCAAGCCTAAAACCTTTTAAAAGAACTTGTATTGCTAGCAATGTCAATGCCTTCTGATACAGAAAATGAGAGAACTGTCAGTACAAGGGAGATTTAAGAGGACAGACGTTTTCTTGTAAGCTGGTAGAGGGACACCAAATACATGTTCATCCTCTAGAAGAGCTGGATACGCATTGCAGGTGAATTTGATCTCATTCTGCATCTCCTTCTAAGGGTCACTGGAAATAACCTCCATGTGTCTGCTATTCTCTTCATAGTCCTCAGCCTCTGTGCTTGTGAACTGTACAGTCTGTGCCAGCCTTGCTTCTGCTGAAACAGACTTTATACAGGGAACTAACGCTGAACAGTTTATTTAAGCGCGTTGATAGAGTCGGTACTGGAGATCTGTTGGAAGAACTGACATCTGAAAGGAGCTTACTCTCTGTGCCTTGCTGGATGGAGAAAAACTGAGTTCTTGTCCATGTGTTTCAGTATTGTATATCCCAGGGATTCCAAAATCTTACTTGACTGTTCAGATACATGCGCACAGTAGCTGTTGAACAGAACAACAGATGATAAGGACCAGCCTACGGACACAAGTAGAGGGAAACATCAAGATGGTCAACTGAAGATGAGACCCCTTATTCTTTCCTTTCAGGAGACCTATGTCAACCTTGCTGTCTGCAGCCAGTGCCTGGCAGTGTGAACAAGTAGCAGTACTTGGTTTGATACGAAATACTGTCTGCCTGCTCAGTCCTTTTATTCAATACCATATTAAATGATGGTAAGAACAGTCATGTAAATATCATCGTTGTTTGTAGAGGCTTCCAGACAGCATGATCACAGAAAGGATTGTTGTGCTCTACAAGAAATAAAAATTTTTGCCTTTTTTGAGGATTTTGTTATCAAGAGTGAAACCTTCCAAAGGCGGCTTGAGCAATACAGGGAGAAATGACGTGAATGAAACTGGCTGGTCTATAGTTCTTTTACTTGTTAATCCAGTCACATGGGCCTTGTTTGCTTTGCTTGGTTTGGGATCTTTTTCACAGGTATTCACCTTCAGAACTATAGTACAGAGTTCAAAGACAACTTTAATAAATTTATTATAGTGTTGGGTTGGGTTTTTTCAGTTCTAAATAGACATAAATGTATGGAAAATAATACTTTTACTTGTGAAGTAGGCTTCTGAATACAATTTTTGACTAAATAATGTGTTACTAGGTACAATGTAAGCACAGAATGAAGAATGAGTAGCACTTCTTATTAAATGGGGTTTTTAGCTTAGAAATTTCTAAGCTGAAATTCTACTGACCTATGTAACCATTAGCTTATAGGGCCATGTTAACTTATTGATTAATATCATGGACTTAGGCTCTGGTTTTGCCACAGAAAGGGAATTAATTCATTTTGAGGTGGTGGAGAATTGATAACGCTTTGAAAAATTATAATGCCATGATTACAGAAGTGAAGATATTGTAACAGATCTACAGGCTTAGAAGAGAGAATCTTAATCAACACTTGCCAGCCAAGTTCCATCTCAATGCAAGGCACCTTCCTGTTCTGCCAAGGTACAACAGTGTAAACTTTCTGGAAAGAACTTGGGGATAGATTGATTGGCATTGCTAGTGAAATATTGCATTACTTCAGCTTTACAGGTGTATGATATACAATATATGTTTCAGTAGTTCCTAAACATCTTGGACATGGCTGAAGTACCTTAGATGTAAGAGCTTTGCTGAATAGCTCTGTGATTTCTCATGTGTTAAAAATTAAGCATGTGGAAAAGAGTTCTGAAGAATTGGGGCATAATTTTCCATAATATTACAACTGATTTCTAAGGGACTAGTTAGGGAGAAAGAATTTATTCATCTCAAGTAAAGAGTAGCAGAACTGTGCCTAATAAATATGATTTTTGAAAAGACACTGTTTTTCTATAGTCTGTTCCCTTGACACTCTAAGGTTGTTCCTTATAATGTTGAATACTCTATTTTTTAGAACTGTATTTAATTTAGTTGTAAATGGCTCAAACTGTGGTGCTTCTACGACTTCCCCAGTCTATGTCATAAATCTGAATGTGTATGTGTTTGCTTGGTATTGCTCAATAAAAGAAATAACAACAGATCTGAAAAAAACATCAGAAAACTACTCATTCTTAATTCGTGTGAATGATTGCTTATTTCACTGTCATGTTTAAGTATATAATGATTTCTGCCAAAAGATTCTAAGACACAGGTTGAATTTGATTAATGAATACCATTATTTGCTGATGGCCTGAAGGATTTTTCTTTATCTAAATATTTTTTTCCAGAATGGGCACTTTTAAAATTAGATTAAGCACTTCTGTATAATATCTATTTCAACTGCTAGACAAATCACCCTTTTATTCAGTTAACACTACTATTCTAAGCTTTACTAAGTAATTCCCCAATAATATGGTACAGACCTGTTTCACTGGCCACAGCAGTCAACTTCTGCAAGCAAATCAGCTGAAAAGTAAAGAAAGAAAACATAAACGTGTTGACAATAATATGAGAACTAAATGAGTGTGCACATTTTTGTAAGATGAATCCTTAGATGTTCTTCAATTGTGTTTTTCTAATGAGTACCACTGGGTATTGGTCAAATTCATCATGTCTTAATTGTTGGTATCATGAGAATGAAATTGCTCTTCCTATTTTTATTTTCCTTTTTTCACTAATTTACAGTTCAGCAGTCTAAGCTTAGAAGGAAAAAAAAAAGAATTAATTTTGCCAAGTGATTCTAAAACTCATTTTAATCAGTCCTTTACACTCTACAGTTAACCTTGATTGCGTTTAATATTTTAGACTTTCTTGCTTTGTATAATGAGGAATACTTCCTATTAGTAATGTTAGTAAAGCAGAAAAATAAATTTGATAAATTTTTTTGCATTAGCAGTGCAGTTTATTTTTCCAAGCTCCTTTGATCAAAATGTTTTGATATGTCAATTTTGCTAAATTTTGCCATCTACCTGCATGTGTAACTGATTACATTTATTGATTTAAAGATTAAGAAGTCAATGAAAAAGTTATCTGAGCTGGAAGACAAAGTCAATCTTAGCAAAATGTTAATCCATGGATTTCATTACGTGTGAATCCGTTTACTGTATCTGATTTAATATTTAATGCTTGATGTGTAACAGATTATGAAATTTAAACAAAAACTATCTTAGTTTATATAAATACATAGATCTTAGAGCTCCTATAGATAGAAAATAACTTCTCAGTGACAAATCAGTTCCCAAGTAGGGAAATCTATCTTTCCACTTACCTCCTACCTAGAGATACATTTTAGGATGGATGTTTTAATATCTTATGGAGCTTTGCATTTGCAAATTCCACCATTGGAGAGCAGATTAAAATCCCTAGTCCTGCTCCCCTAGAAACTGATAGAAATTTTGGTCTTAGTTTTGAGAGGAAGTATATTAATCCCATAGTAATAGGTCACTTTGTGTGTTATTTCTGAAGATTTTGCTCTTTATATATGACTCTTAAGGTAAAAAATCCCATCCAAGAGCTAGAGTCTCCTTCATAGCAGGTAAACTCTGCAAGAGGTCCTTGGCCAATACTGTGCAAGAGTGAGTTGTGGCAGGAGAATTGTTTTCAGACTCCTTCAGTGATCAGATCTCCCCTCAGGTGTCACACAAAAACACTGGACACACCTGGTGCAGACAGTGGTGTTGGGTTTGCACATCAAAAGTCCTTGCAGCTGAAATACGCCAAGATTCTCATGGGTGATTGGCACATGGGCCCTATGGGGAAAACATCTGCTCCTCAAAGCAAAAGCGATTACTGCAGAGCTTGTTGCTTTCTCAACATGCATTCCATAAAATGGAACCTGGGTAAAGTTCATGGTTTGTTACTTTGTCTGTAGTTTGCATCTTTTCTTTCAGTATTATTTAATATGTCCACCTCCATTTTCTTTTTCATTCTCAGAAGAATCTAATTTGCTTATCAAGTTCTCTTTCTCTCTCGTTTTCTCTTTTCTCCTTTTTCCCCCTCTCTTTC